CAAGATGAGTACACTAAGGTTCAAAATATCGCAAATTATAAATTTTAAATAAATAAATAAATGGAGAGGTGGAGAGTGAAAAGAAAATAAGTGTTGGATTTAAAAAAAAAAATGGCAGCATTTCGTTACCCCCATGGGGTCGAAGTGTGTCGGCAAAAGATATACTAAGTAAGATGGGAGAGAGTAGGGAGAAGAGAGAGAATTTTAGCATCACTTCGTTACCCCCACGGGGTCAAAATGTGCGCCGAGAGCTAAAATAACTAAGTCTTAAACAAATAAAGAAGTACCGCAAAAATAAGAAAAATAATTCGAATTTTCAGAATAAACAAAAATATAAATAAAATAAATAAGAAAAATAAGAAAAGAAGTAGAGAATAAAAAGGATTCGAATTTTTGAAGAAAAGAGGAAATTTAAATAAAAAAAGAAGGGGTAACTTCGGCGTGGTCACGAAAACAGTTTGTAATCGCACTTGAGGCAATCCCGCAAATACAACACACCCCCTCACGACCCCACCGGACCCGAAACGTAAATCATATACATTCACCATTACCGGTCCTTTTGCCTCAAGTGCAATTACAAACTCAAACCCTGACTGCGCCGTAGTTTTTAAAAAAAAAGAAAGATTAAAAAAAAAAAAAACAGAGAACTTTCGAAGTTGGGGGGGGGGGGGGGGGTTGAAAAAGTGAAGGAGAAAATAAAAAAATAGGTTAGAGAGAAAAAAAGAGTGAAGAGGGGAGATGGGGGAAACGATGGGGTTGTAGTTAGGGGAGAGAAAGGGGGGAGAGGAGGGTGAAAGAATGGGAGAGATAGGGATGAGAAAGTTGGGGAGGGGTAGAAAAGATTAGTAGAAAATGGCGAATGGAGAGGGGAGGAGAGAAAAAAATGGTGGAAAATGAGTGAAGAGGGAGGTGGGAGAAGAGAGTAGTGGTAGAGTTAGAAAAGGTGGTGACAAGGTAGAGGGGGGAGAGAGAGAAAGGGGGTGGGAGAGTAGGTTAGTGGGGAGTGATATACCAAGCTCTTGGTTAACCAAGAGCAACAAGATTACCAAGATCCTTCAAGCTGCTGGCAGCCTGCTACTGCAACAGAGAAAAAATAATAATAATAGTGGGATAATCAAGGGTTGGCTGAGATCTTGATCAGCCACCCTGATTGCTCTGATGCGCAGCCCCCTAGCCAGGGGGGTCTTCACTGCTAGCAAACTGCTGATACAAGAGTACAAAAAATAATAGTAATCATCATCATGATCTGGGTGGACTAAGATCTTGATCAGCCACCCAGATCTCCCTGTAGTGCAGCCCACTATCCAAGGGGGGTCTTCACGCTCCACAGCAAGCTGCCACGCGGCACTGCAGATGGTCACGGGCACAACCAGCAACAACCACGGTGTCTCCCCGCGGCGGGGGGGTGCCTGCCCGCTGCTGTCGTGCTGGCCGGTGCTCGGCGTCCGCCACGGAGGGGGGGGGGGGGGGGGTAAATAGCTGGCACAACACCTCTTCAACACCAGCGTGCTGCACTACTGAGTCATGGACACACTGTGCCAGTGTGTTATAATGGTGGTTACGCACACGCATGGCCAACAGCTGTCCAGGTTCAAACCCTGGCAACATCATGCATCACGAATCTTGAATAAAGATAATCCGGGAGCGGGGTGGGGCTGCCACGTGTCACCGCCTTCTCACTTCGTTGCCATTGCACCTTTTGTCCCGCTTTTTGCTCGCAAAACGCCCGAAAAAAAAAATCGCAAAAAGCCGCTGGCGGGTTTATACCATTTTTCCACAGTGGGGGCCTGGGTGGGTGGGAGTGGGGAACATTCCCGTTCTAATACCAATGTGCCGGACCCGCCGGGATGACGGTCCATCAGGATGGAGAAGGGGGGTTGACGAAGGAGAAAGGACATACGGAGCTGGAAGAGACAACACAACTCCGACGCAGACTCAACACGCACGTACTCCAACATGACCAAAAGTGGAGAATGAACCAGAATACATACTGCAACAGGGGTATACCCTAGCGGACCGACTAGACTGGTACCGACAGTGGTACCGGGCAGAACTGGACTGGACTGAAACAACACACGGCCTATGGGGTCAGGCCACAACCTGGTCCCACAGCCCGAATAGGCAAATAGCCAAATAGGCCCTGGCTGTAGGTCAGGGTAGATACAGGCCCGCTGCAGCAATTCCTAGTTAACATGGTGTGTGTGTTTGTATGTGTGTATGTGTGTGTGTGTGTGCGCGCGCGCGCGCATAAGAGAGAGAGAGAGAGAGAGAGAGAGAGAG